ACATGTTTGGGGTAATAAAAAACTTCATATGTTGTTAATCAAAGAGGATGTTGACTTTGGTGATTTTAATAATGTTGACATAGTAGTCAATGAATTCCAGAATCTGCACCTTTCAATCTTTAACATTTCAAGTTTTACTTCGAAGAAAACAATCAAATTGTGGGAGATAGAAGGTCAAAAGTCATTGTTATGGTTGATTGTATAGCCTCTTGCAACTTTATTTCAACTCTTTTGGTGGAAGAATCGGGTTTTCCGATTGCGACAACATGTGCTCGCATGGTGGAAGTGGAAGATGGTCGAATGATTACTTGTACGGACATTGTGAGGTTGTGTGTTTGCATATGCAAGGCCATGTGATACAATATTTTTATATCTTTGATGTTGGAGGAGTTGATATAATTCTAGGAATGGATTAGTTGGCTCAACTAGGCGGAATTCGTGCAAACTTTAGTGAACTAACTTTCTAAATTCAAACAAAATAAGGTTGTGACATGTTATAGGGAGATCCTACATTTTACCAAGCTTCCATTTCATTGAAGACACTCATTCATGAGTTGCACTAGGAAAATGAGGGCTTGGTACTAAGATTTATACTTTTTTTTGTCTTTAGAACCGAGACAACAATTGCCAACGTAGATGCAGACTATTATGGACAACTATCTGGAAGTCTTTACGGACGTCCAAGGACTTCCCCCATAAAGAGTTCATAGTTCTAGATAAATTTCTGGAAGTATTGGAAGTTTTGGAAGTTTTGTATGAATTATCAGGATTTGAATAAGATCATAGTTCTAGATAAATTTCTTATCCTAATCATTGACAAATTATTAGATGAGTTAGGAGAGCCACTAATTTTTCAAAGCTGGACTTAAAATCAGGATATCACCAAATCCATATGCAACCAGAGGATGTTCCTAACATAGAATTCTGGACTCATGGAGGTCATTATGAGTTTGTTGTCATGCCCTTTGGTTTAGTTTGGTTTGACGAATGCTTCGTCCACATTTCAAGAAGTCCTCTATAATTATTTAAGGAAGTTTTCTTTGGTGTTTTTTTATGATATTTTAGTGTACAACAAAATCAAGGGGATCTTCAATTTCACCTTCAAGTTGTCTTATCGCTTTTTAAGAAGAATAAACTCTTAGAAAATTTCAGCAAATGCACTTTTGGCCAGTCACAACTTGATTATTTAGGTCATATCATTTCAGCCCAAGGCATGGCAACAAACTCTCAAAAAATTGAAGCAATGCTTACTTAGACAACACCTAAAGATCTCAAGTTCCTAAGAGGTTTCTTGAGTTTAACGAGGTATTATCACCGTTTTATGAAGCATTGTGGCAAGTTAGCAAGGCCTCTAACCCAATTTCTCAAGAAAGATAAGTTTCATTGGGATGAGGAGGAGCATAGTGCATTTTTTAGATTGAAAACAACGAGCGAATTGTCAGTGCTCACGGTTCTAAATTTCAATTTGTCATTTGTGGTAGAAACAAATGCTTCATACAAAGGTTTAAGTGTTATATTAATGCAACGTGGTCGATCAGACACTTTCTTGAGTCAACCATTCTCTAATCGTGTTAAACGGAAGTCAATTTATGAAATAGAAATGATAGCCATTGTGATGGAAGTACAAAAGTGGTGTCATTACTTGATTGAATAACATTTCATTGTACAAACAGACCAAAATGTTTGACGTTTTTTATGGATCAATGTGTTCTGGGAGAGGAGCAATTTAAACAGACTTCCAAACTCGTGGGTTTTGATTTTGATTTTGTTTACAGGCTAGGATGTGATAATGGGATTGCAGGTGCGGTTTTTTTTTTTGCGCTCTCTCCATGGTTCACTTCTCAAAATTGGACGATGGAAAACTGAGGTTCAGACTCACCTAAAACTTTCAATGTATCATCCAAAATATGATTCAGCATTCTCAATTACATCTAGATTGCACTTTTATTAAGCGTGATGTCAAAAACGGAAAAAATACACTAAATTTATATTATTTAATATGTTTTAAATTGAATAATTGTACTTTGGTCAAGTGAGAGATTATGAGCTATAATTCTTAATGATTAATTATTATTGTGTCATTCATTTCTTTTTAATTAACAATTGCACAATACTACCATCTTTTACAGCTTCCATTGAATAAAGACATTTGTATTGTAACTGCTCTTACATAGAACATTTACCATATCCTAGTACATCCTATCAATTTCTTATTATATTTTTCGAAAATCCACTGAATGCTTAAAATACATACTGTTGGTCAATCATGATATCCAAACACCAACCTGATTAAATTCACTTGATTATTTTAATCAATAGTTATTATATCTTATTTCGGTTATGGTTTCTTCATAATTGAATTTAGAATATTAGTTAGAAAAAAGATCAAATTGAAATCATATTCATAGCCTACTTCCATCTTAACATTATTTGAGACTATACACTCCGGAAAATTAATAGATTCTAGAGAAGCTCTCTAACGTTGAATAGAAAATTACTAATCATATTGTAAATGATAGAAAAATACTATATTAAAATTTTAAAATGCTTTTTAAATTTCAGAAATATATTTTCGAACTCACTTTAAATGTCACCAAAACACGTTATAAATAAAACTCACCTTTTTTTTTTCAAAATTTAGTCTATAACTCACCTTTTTTTTTTCAAAATTTAGTCTATAACTCACCTCTTTTTTTCAAAATTTAGTCAAAGATGCATTTCGGAATTCACATTATACCCTATTACCTTAAATTTATAGGTATATTGGTTTTCTTTCTTTCACCCTATTATTCCAACCAATGCCTTGTTGGGAAAAGCAAATAGAGAAGCACCCCATTACTTCAAAGTGATACATTTCTTTTCATTAAAAGACACGCCTCATCTAATAAAAATCACACCCTTAATTACTCCTTTATATAATTTTTCAAATTCATTGCATTTTATTTAATTACAAATCCATCACTCTCCTTCTAGCTTAAAAAATGTGGAACGTGGCATAAAACACTACTAGTTTATTTATCTAGTCCTTGCAACTTAAGAAGAAACCATGTTATAAGACACTAAAACAAAATATTACAATTCTATCATTTTTCAAAAGTATACTTCCAGATATTATATAGATGTAAGTTGAGACTTTTTTTTTTTTTTACAAAATAGAGGATGACTCACATAAATTTGGTATATTTAAAATGTATGCATCTTCAAAATCTAAGTATTTTCTATTTTTCACGAAGATGCAGTAGGAATTCTTAATGTCTTACATAATTCCATTGAGTAATATGTGAGAAGCCCGCTAATTTTCTTAATGCCTTACATATTTCCGTTGAGTAATACGTGAGATGCCTTACATAATTCCGTTGGGTGAGAGGCCTGCTAATTCTCTTCTTGGTAAAGGAATTGGTAGTATTATAATGGAGAGGTTCTTAGGGTATTCTTTCGAGCTATTAGTCATTATGTGCGTTTCTTTAAATATTTTCAAATTTTAAAAATATATCTCCAAAATCTGAGATTTAAAAAAACGCACATTCCTTAAATACTTTCAAATTTCAAAAATATATCTTCAAAATCTTAGGAGATTTAAGAAAAGGCACATGCTAGCTAAGACCTAAAGGGTGGAATAAATATATCTCCAAAATCTTAAGAGATTTAAAAAAATACGCATTCCTTAAATACTTTCAAATTTCAAAAATATATCTAGATTTAAGAAAACGCACAACATTTTCTAAATTTTAATTTCATATCTATACACTGTCAATGCAAAAACTTTTACAATGTCAATTCATTACTATCACCCGTTGATATTACTTAATTAATAATTAAAATTAAAAGATTTTTTTTAAAAATATCCAACATATATGATTACACTGTTAATGTATTTCAATTTACTCTTATGTTTAATATTAAAAAATATTTAATTAAAAAAATTGTATTGTCAAGGGCAATTGTCTTTAAAAAATATCTAGTTTCCTTTATATTATAACATTGATTTCTACCAAGTTAAAGTATCACATTTAAAACATGCATTTCTAAAGTTTTACTCAATGTTATCATTTGAAGTTGTTTTAGTAGAATACTACATGATAATAATAATAAATAAAAAAGAATATCAGATACAAAATTTAAAACAAATTTATAGCTATATATCGCAACATAAAAAAAGTGGATTATTACCGTGTGTGGGAGTCATCAAGATAATATAAAAAGTTACGAAATATCAAAATATAAGTTTAGATAAGCAGTCTACACTGTGCACAGCTGTAACCTGTACAACTTGTCTTAAATTTTAAATTTAAATGAGCTGTGACCGACGCACATGGTCAATGTGATTACGTTGTAATTTGAGTAAAAACAAACATGAAGACCGAAAAATGCTAGAGTATCAATGTCATTCCATATATGACAACGACCATATATAGTAAGAGACATCAAGCAAGCATTCTTTAATGTGGTCCTAGGACAAGCTCAGCCACCAGAAAGCCATACTTCCTCTTCCCTCAGAGGCAGTAGAAAGCTATCACCAGACACATTCCTCATACAACAGCCATTTTTAATAATAAAAAGTTCCTAAAACTGGTGGAAAGCTGAAGCTGACCTCAAATTTTAAAAGGCAGCTGAGGCACAGTCGGGAAACAAAACAAAGCCAAAATTCAAGCAAGCAAAACCATCCTCTATGGCTAATAAAATACATATATGTATCCCATAATAATAAGTAATAATAACAGTTGTGCCACTAGGTCCACAACAAAAATAAAAATGAAATGCCTGTGTTCATTCTTAGAGGGAGAGGGGTTCAACTTTGCCATTTAGTCCTGTTTTCTGTTTTGCAATAGGAATTTTCTTCCCATTCCTCAATCATGTTATCCTAAATATGTCTCGTGAGAAATTATTCCCCATTGTGCCACATGCAAAAAAGTGAGATAGTTTTTAGATACCTGCTTCATGTATCCTTAACTTTTAATGGCTCTCCAAAAAAAACAATGTGCCGAAGCACATTTGTAACTTCAATTTCTCGTTGAAATAGAGTTATCTGAGTCATGATGACCAACTTGGCCAGTACTTATGCTATCTGGTAGAACTAGTCCTCCAGCACCAGCATAGATAGTGGTCTCTAGGGAAATGTTGTGCACTTCTTCTGAGAGCACGTCATAAGTCAGCACACCTGGAGTTTCAACATTATGAAACTGAACAGGAGGAGGTATGATCCATTTTTTCCAATCAACTTTCCTCCTTAGTTTGTCTCCCTATAATATAAATAAAGAAATAAAATCAAAACAAAAGGCTCAAGAAATTGATAGAACAGGGAAAATTCAAATAGTCTAGAAATAGTACATCTAGTCAAATGGAATAGTACATCTATTCAAATTATAAACACAAATCTCCAATGCAATAATCAGAAAAAAGAAATTGATAGAAGAGTAAAAGTGAGAAAGATAGAAATTCAAAACAAGAGTTTCAAGATTCAATAAAACAGGGAAAGTGAGAATTATCATTTTCATTCATATTCCAACTGATATTGTCAATCCATTCAAAAACTATAAACTAAAACTTCTGTATGACGTTCAGAAAAGTACCTGCACTTCAACAACAGATGAAGTTCGAACTGCATCCATTATAAGCTGGATATTGTCGGTCAAAAGCATGACCTGTCAAGTGGAAGATTTTCATTAATTAAAACATAAAGCTATAACTCACATCCAAATAAAAGAATGTTTAAGACAGTTAAGACGGGTTCGGAAAACAAGAAAACAGCACAGTGGGAAATGTAAATGATAATTAACAAAGTAAACCATAAAATAGTCAACAGTATAAGTACTAGTACAAAATACATGCTGGAGCCCGAAACGTGTATTACATGCATAGTCTTGCACATTTACATATCCAGTTCCATCTTGCCAGCATCGACCATAATTATGATGGTAAATAATTCAGTAGATAAAATTCTGTATAGACGCCAGAGCATATAATTTTGCGGGTTATGAATGCAATTACTTATAAATCAAATATGCATTGATCAACATCAAAAACCAAACATACAGATCTTCATGGTCCACCCTTAGTCTATAACCACCAAATCATAAGCATGACAATGACTGTATCCATTAATAAGCTACTTTATCTGTTATGAGGTGATAGTAGTACTATATTAATAACAGTAGTAATCCTTACTATGGTAAACAGAATATAATTACAAATCTAAGAGAACAAATAATTAAAAAGTGCAAATTAAAAGGACCAAACTTCTCATCTTAAAAGCTTTTTATTCTTCTGACATGGTTCATTGTGCATACATTCATTTAACTATCAAACCGTGTTTTTCCACGGAAGGGAGCGTGAGAAAAGGCGCCTAGAAAAGGCCCCTATCCATTGGTCAACATCAATAACAAAACATACAGAACTTTATGGTCAATACTTCGTCTATAACCACCATATAACAAGCACGACAATGACTGTATCCAGTAAATAAGCCACTTTAGCTGTTATGAGCAGATAGTAGTACCAATAATAATAATGATAACAACAGTAGTAATCCTTACTATAAACAGACCATAATTATAAATCCAAGAGAACAGACAATTAAAAAGTGAAAATTAAAATGATCAAATTTCAAATCTTCTTAAAAGCTTTTTATTCTTCTGATTTGGTTCATTGTGCATACATTCATTTATACTATCAAACCCATGTATTTCCACTGAAGGGAGAGGGAGAAAAGGCGCTATTGCAGAAGGCCAACACAGGCAAAAATATTCATGTAACATATAGTACCTGGTAGGCGATGTTTCACGATTCTATCTCACTGACGTTTAAAAAAGATATGGATTATAGAAAAAATATCATTTTAATTTAATATGAATGAGTTGAACATTTTTTAAATAAAAAGTCAGGGCATAGCCTTGCCTTTGAAAATTTTCCTGTCCAGATGCTATAAACATTTCATCAAGACTTTAAACAAGTTTTTGTTTTCTTGGTATAATTTCAAGATACACAGCATAACTAATCACAACTTGAGACCAGGTTCCTTAAATAGAACTGCAAATATTAATGAAAGCAAAAGAAGGTTCAAAGGAAAAATAAAGACCATAACATCAATCCCCACAAATTAGGAGATATACTAGCCTAATTCCTCAGACGATTTGAAATAGTATAGGGTAGGATGCTAGCTTTGGCGATATGACCAGAATTCTGCAGCCATGGAGAGACAACAAGTGCTGCCACCATTGTCATGCCAATTTTCCATAGAACAAACAAAAAAATTATAACATGATACTTATCAAAAATAAACACTGCACATGCAATAAACCAATCATGACTTAATCCTTTCCAAGCAGCGGCAAAATTAGTAAATAAGTGGATAATTGTGTGTGTGTGTGTGTGTGTGTGTGTGTGTGTGTGTGTGTGTGTGTGTGTGTGTGTGAGTGAGTGTGTGTGTGTGTTGTGTGTGTGTTATGAGTCAGCTATAGAAACAAAAATATAATCCATTCTCGCCTATCCCTCTCATACGCACATAAAAAAAGCAATCATATACACCAAACTACTCACTTTTTTGAAACCTGCAATTAGTTTTATTGGAACCCAGCCCTGGTCATCCATTTTCTGCCGCAAGAATGTATCCCTAACTAAATTTTCATTACTGCAATAGAAAAGCTGTGTTATTGTCTACAGTCAACTTTCTTAACAAATAAAAATGCATGCAATACAAAAATTGGCAGACCAAAGCAAAAGCCGTACCTAAAATAGTACTCAATCTGACTAACTATCATACTATGCAACTGAGGGTCTGGCCCTGCATAATAAAGTGCTGGATGTGCCATTGGAGGCACAAAGGGAACACCTCTTAGTGAATCCAGGGGTGGCGGTGGAGGTGGAGCTGCGACAAATACCACTGGAGGTGCTAGTTCTAAAAATGAATACAGAAATCAGAGAATATTCACATCATAAGAGAAATCATCTTGACATCAATACAACATACCATGGAATCCCATGTGACCACCAAAAGGCCGCAATGATTGTGGATGAATAAATTGTCCAGAATTAGGAGGCAGGGATGGCCTTATTATTCTTGGAGAAACTCTTGGAGGCACATGCATGTCTCTACCATTGAAATTTCGACGACTATTCCAGTCTTGATCACGCCTGTTCCCATAGTTATGATGGTGAGAACCATCTCCACGCTGATGCGGACCATTACTACGATTTCTAAATGAATTACGCTGCTGTGGATGATCACTGGACAATGACCCACTTCTCTGTGTATGGTCTTTGGAAAAAGAGTTGTGAGATCCAGTTGAAACTACAGCAACTTGGGGGGCAGACTGCTGTGTGTGGACCCCGTTAGAAGAGGCATTTGAACTGTTGTGTTTGATTGGTTTCTGGCGAGTTGGTGCCATATTGTTTAAATTTACATGATCTTCAACTTGTCTCTGCATCTGGGAAGAGGAAGAAGGTGTGCTTTCCATACCCTATAATTGGCACTTAAAACAATGGCAATATCGATGTGCATATAAACAAAAAATAAAAAATAAAAAACAACGAGCATATATGAATATGTCAACAAAGTGAAAAATGACGGCATTTCAAAATTCATCTAATTGTGAAGACAAAGCAATTTGAACTAATAATATGCCCACTTCACATGCTTTGGCAGCTGTGTATTTTCCATAACTTCAGACCCAAAATGTTAATTTGCATTCTGAACTTCACATGCTTCAAAGCAATTTTCACTGCATTTTCGAAACTATGCGGTGAAAAAATAAGAAAAGTTAATTTGAATGTGAAGTACATAATGCATCTTTGATTTAATCGAACATATATTGCATAATGATCCTAACCTGCTGAAATTTATCTTAATCTTTATTATCCATGATATCAACAGTGAAATTAACTTAATACGAAAACAAAACCATTGAGAACACATGAAAAATCAACTCAACAACGCTTCAAAAACAACCATATCTAACTAATCGGAACTTTTGAATTGCAGGAATAGTATTGTAAATGCTAATAACTGAAATACTATAGTGAATCCCGACGGAAACAAACCTGCGATTGAGGAACAGAAGATCCGTCTAACAAACCCTTTGATGACTCCGATTTCGTAAAAGCTTTAGCCGAGTCAGACAACGCTGGCCAAGAGTGTGCATCCATGACCGGCCGTACCTCCGAAGCTGCACCATTGAAGGAAGGTTTATTCCAAGCAGGTCTCTTATCAGTGCCGCCATTGTGCTCACCTCCGTTATCGGAGGTCTCCAAAACAGAGCTAGTATAATCAACGACCGTAGTTGCGGACGGAAAAGGTTCCTCCGACGGCGCCGATGAAGAAACGGCGGGAACAAACTCCGATTCGCCGCGAACTACCTGGTTCCAAGGCGAAGAGACCGGGAGCCGACTCGATTGGAGGTTATCGGAGGAATGACGAGAAATTTCGTTACCGATCATGGCCATCGATGACTAGGAATGTTTAGGGCTAAAATAAGTAATAACTCTCCGGTGATGAAATAATCGACGTTAACGGAGAAGATTGATTCGAATAGTGTGTTTTGCGAGGTTGCGATGAAGGTGTGAAACGAAATGTGGTAGATTAGGGTTCCAAAAATTGTACGATCTAATCGCAGGGAATAATGAGAATAAGGAAGAAGAAGAACTTTTGTTTTGTTTTTGTGCGTGCGGGGAGAGAAGAATGCGTTCGAAAGAAACACTGCGAAACGCTACGGATGCCAGGTTTGTCACTGGGACTCGTGAGTTTACGGAAATACCCCTCTTTTATTTTCCTTACAACTTCCATTTAACTTTTTCACGACGGAGTCTGGGTTGTGACGTCTGACGGGCACCTAATTCAACAGTTTTTAACCCCAAAAGCAATGTGGTTCATTGCACTTGACAAACGTTTTTTAATTCCTTCAATGAATCTACCTAATGGGATAGTAAATGTTAAATTTATAGCCGATTTATTTTGTAACTTTTGATAAAATTAGTAACTGATTAATATAAAATAATATAAATTTTAATTAAAATAGTTTTATGATTTTATCGACTTGTTTATATGAAAAAGAAAGTGTATGACAGATAGTCACTGAATGAACATTAAAGGGATGATTTATAGTAGAAGTAAAAGAAAATAGAAAATGAAAAAAAAGGAAAGATATATATTTTGACGAATAAATAAATACTTCATTTACCAAATAAATTGTGTAAATTTTATTTTAATTATATTATTAAAATATTTATTTAAAATAAAAATAGAAATAAATAGAAATACGCAGTATTTTTTATCACATCTTCCAAACTACATTTGATATGGTAAAATAAGGGTATTAATGTCTTTTTATTTATTTACGAGACTTGCTTCCGTTTTCTCTCCAATATTGTGTGGAAAACATTTTTGGGTGGGCCTATGTAAAATTTTCTTTCCTTTGCCTTTTAGAATGCAATCAAATGAGGGAAAGGGATATATTCTTTAATCTTTCTTTCATTCTCCTTTATTTTATTTGCTTCTGTCTTCCACAAAACCATAACACATTATACAAGTTAGAAAGTTAAATTATTGATTAAAAAAACTGTTATAATGTTATAGACTTTATTAAAGTTATCACAAGAATAAAGAAATCGACACATTGATTTTTTTTTAGGATAAAACACACAATTCGACATTTCAAATTATTACTTAACAAACATAAATATAAACACTTATAGGATTGAATAAATTTGTTATCATTCTTCAAAGCACTTAGGATATTTTTGGGTTGAGGGATGAAAGGATTTATTTTTAAATTGTGAAATAGTTTAGTTTACACCAAAAATAAATCACATCTTATTTAGAATCGACAAGACATACGATTAATAGATAGCAAAATTCGATCAACCGATAGCAAGTCAGTCAAGTATAAACACAGACGAATCTTTCTCAAGTCTATTGAGTTTTATCAAGGTTATCAAAATTTTAGACTCAATCGAAACATACCATAACACTACTACAAAATAGATTTTTCGTAACACTCATTTTACAACGGTCTTCCTGTTAACTGTGGTAATAATTTTTTTTAGTGTTTTTTTTTATTTACAAAAAGACATTTCACAAAGGTCATAGGTACCAACCGTAGTGAAACGTATCTAGAGTGAAAGGGTTTGAAGCTCAGCACCAACAATTTTTCATTTATCGTGACATAATGGGTTTGACCTTATATATCGCCATGATTTTTATAATCAATCGTGGTGTAAGTTGCAATGATTTCATCACGATTCGTGTTGTCAACTCTGGTGAAAGGTATTACTTATTTATATATAAGTAAAAAAAAATCTCGCTTCAGTACATTATAATCGTCTCTCTCAAAATAAAATCCTAACATCTATTTCACTCGTCTCTCTCAAAATAAAATCCTAACATCTATTTCACTCGTCTCTCTCAAAATAAAGGTGTTACTTATTTATATATAAGTGAAATTATTTCTCGCTTCAGTACATTACAATCGTCTCTCTGAAAATAAAATTCTAACATCTATTTCACTCGTCTCTCTCAAAACAAAACCCTAACATCTTTGTAACTCATCTCTCTCATATGGAAATCTCAAACTTATGCAGTCAACTCGTCTTTTTCGAAGGATATCTTTGTTGCATTAAATTTTAGCAAACGACTACTTTACATGTTCGTCTTCACTATAGTTTATGTTTTAAAATATGTTTATGTAATATTGTTTGTGTGTCAATAACTTGTTTTATAATGTTTAAACCTTTTGCTTGTTTTGACTTGTAGGTAGAGATACTCGTTTCAATAACGAGGAAGAAGTTAAAGTGAGCGTTGCAAACTTGTGTGAAAGACCCGGAATGACATTCATTCAAAATAAACACAAGTTGATAGCTCTCACTTTAGCTTCATCATTCTTTCATTGTGGATGTCATTATAGGAGATGTACATTTCTGAAAATTTTATGACTTTATATGTTTGTTGTATCGTTTATGTTGTTTATGGTTTGTTGTTGATGAATGTTATTGTTTATATTTGTTTAAAGATAAGTTTATTATAACTTATGTAGTTTGAGTGTTTTTCGAATCCCTTACCAAATATATAATTTTTCAGATTGTATTAGAAAATCATAATATGATAGATAAAGTTATATTATAAAACAGGTACACGGTCAATTCTTGACAACAATTCTTTAGTCTGTTATCAGCATTTCATTCTTTGACTATTGGAACTTTATTTAATGCTTGTAGTTCTTCCACCACCTCTAATTTTGTTTGCAAAATAAATAATATTTTTCAAAATGAACTAGATGTGAAGGAATATGTGATGGAAGAACTAATAGCATTAAACAAAGTTCTAATTGTTAAAAAGTAAAATGTGGATAACTTACTTGAAGAATTATTATCAACCATTGAACGTGAACTTATTCTTTTAATATAACTTAATTTGTCATATTATAATGTTCTAGATCATATTGAAAGGTTATATGTTTAGTGAGCATTGGCAAAATAAGTATTCCACATAATTTATAATAATCTCATTGTATATATCACAACGGTTGTTTATACCAACTATTGTTAAATGTTATGCATTAAAGAATATCACAGCGGTTGTTTAAAGTAACTGTTATGGTAGGTAGCATGCTGCATAGCTTATAATCACGGTCGCACGACCATGATAGAGAGCATCATACATATAATCACACATTACCTCACAATGGTTGGTCGAGTGTAGTGGTATCCATTTTCCAATTGTTGTGATAGTTGTTTTATGTAGTTGTGTAATTAGAAAAATTGACATTATAACCGTGTTTTATGTTGATAGTCATGGTAGTCAGAATTGTGATCCAAAGTGTATAATTGAACGATTATATGGTCTTACAGCCCCCTTCGTGTCGAAGTATAGCCGACATTGTTTTTTGGTACGCCTTGCGTGAATCGCCGCGATAACATGTGAAACGGGGCAATCGTCACGCACCGTCGTTTTCGTTCACAACCCAGGAATTCAGATTCGCGAGTCGGGTTCGCGACCCTCTTTGGAAGAAACAAAAAAAAAACATTTCTTTTCGGATTGAAATTTGAAACATTTATTTTCAGCTTGATATTTGAAACGTTTCTCCTAATTAAAATTAGTAATCAATACTCACCCACCCAATAATCAATAATTTATGCAACTTTCTAATACACATCCATGATTAGTGTAACTTCCCAAAATACAACAATTTCCTCCTATTCGATACATCTCTCTCTTGTTCAATACAATAATTATTTTATATTTTATATTTTATTCTCTATCTTCTCACTCACGCTAAAAACAACATTTCATTCTCTATATTCTCTCTCATGTTAAAAACAACCCTTTGAGTTTCAAAATTTCTCCAATGGCTTCAAGGTCAATTGTTGGAACTTTAGTTGTTGGTGCTCTCATTGCTCCTCTTGTAATTACACCCCCACCATGCTATTAAACATTGCCTAAAAATGCCCACGATAGCATAACTGATATAGCATGGAAACATGGTGTTGATGATCTGGGTAATCCAAGGAAAGTACAATGCAAGTATTATAAATTAAAAAAAAGTAATTGAAGGTGTCTGCAGGTTAAAACATCACTTGGATGGAATTAAAAAAGATGTTGAAGCATGTAGGGTTGTTCCAAATGAAATTGAGAGAGAAATACTGCAAATTTGTTCAAGATTGTAAGAAAAATTTATCAAAAAATAGAGACAGTGATGGAGGAGGAGAAGTTAGAGGTTGGTGAAAAAATAATGAACAATATCATCTTTAGAAACACATTTAGGAAAATGTGTTTAAGATAACAACCTAGCATCAATATAGTTTTAAATAACGGTTTAAGAGATGAGGCATGTCAAGTAATTACGAGGTTTTTTACAACAATGTCATGACATTCAATGTAGCAAGGAGTGAGAACTCCATTATTATGTATGATATGATTTCAAGACATGCTAATGGATTCAAGCCACAATCTCATAATGAGCTAAGAGTTAAGTTGTTAAACCAATAAGTGAAATTGATAAACGAAGCTTTAGAAGAATATAGGAAGGAATGAAGGAACATCGGTTGCACCATAATGACCAGTAGATTGATTGATAGGGATAGGTGGTCATTTTTAAAATTATTTGTTAATAGTTTAAAGGGTATTTTATTTTTGAAGTCTCTTTATGCATCCAGCGTATGCTAAACAACTGATAAAATCTTTGAGATGATTGGTGTTGTTGTTAAAGAGGTTGGAGAAGATAATGTCATTCAGTTCGTGACAAATAATGCAGTAAACTACAAAGCTGGCAGTGAGATGTTGATGCGAAATAGCAAAAAATTATATTGGAGACCTTGTGTTGTACACTATCTTGATTTGATGCTTTAAGAGTTAGATAAGAACAACCATTTCACGAAGAGACAATTCCAAAGGGTGAAATAATTATAACTTTTATTTCTTCAAGAACTTTTCTGGTTTCTATTTTGCATCA